TTGGACAAGGGCCGTGCAGGGCTCTATTCGTTCCCTCGTTTCAATTAAAAGTTCCCCCCAGCTCGGTGGGCCCCCACACTGCCTGGGCCCATATGCACCTGCATACCCTGCATAACCAGACGCTACGCCACTGATCTTATTTGTTCTTATCTGTTCATAAAAGTTTTATGTTTAATATAAGCAACTTTGTCATTGTAGCATTGTTGAGGTTGTGTGTTTTTCATTAAGAGTAATATTGAATCAACCTTAAGAATTAATTTTGTTTCAAGAATAGGAAAGACCTAACGTTAAAGATCAAAAGAAGCGCGACAGATGTGAGAATGCGAGATTAGTTGCTGCTGAGGTAGACGCTCTCGCTCTTTCTCTGCTGTCTGTAGAAATTGTTGTTAATTCTTAATTTGAGAACGGCAGGGACATGTTACAGGTTATAATATAATCCAAAAATCATGGCAACAAATGATTTTTTAAGTCAGTTTAATACATTTAATCAGTTGAAACGACTTTCACAGTCAATTTGATTCAACTTAACTCATATTTAACCATTGCTTCTTGTCACTGTAGGCTTAGGCTACTTTTTTCAATAAATTTGAATGAATATACTAATTAATAAAATTAATATTATTTATTTTGTATTACATATTGTTCATTCATTTATTTTTAACACCGCACCCCCAGCACCCCCATTTTTTCATGGGCTACACTCCAGGGGGTGCTGCAGCACCCTCAGCACCCCTACTTCCCGCGGTAATGTCTGGAGAAGACAAAAGCTGAAACTAATCCAGCATTAAGACGTTTTTAACGAGTCTATAATCCATAATAACACTTCCTCCAGTGAAAAAGTGTTCTGGTGTGAATCAGGAGAGAAATCTGCACAGATCAAGCACCGTTTAAACAGCTCTAAACAAATATGTGGCTGGATTTTGATCTGATAGACAACGGGAGATGCACTTTTGTTACTAGACGAAGCGTGAAATTGTGATGTTTTTATCAGCTGTTTGGACTCTCATTCTGACGGCACCCATTCACTGCAGAGCATCCATTGCTGAGACACTGATGCAATGCTACATTTCTACAAATCCACATTTTGGATATACCTAACCATCATATTCTGGATTCTTCAACAGGGTGGACAGTATGGTTTTTCACACTTTTTTTTTTTTATCTTTGATTGCCTTCATTATCAAAGATACACATGTATTTTCTCAGGCTGAATGAGATGGCGTGATGTTTCTGCATCAGGATTTCTCAGCTGTAAATCTCTAGTTGCTGTGACGTGTCTCTCTCAGGACATGTTAGGAGATCCGAGCTTCGCTCTGCCGTACTGGGACTTCGTCATCGGCGGCAGCGAGTGCGACATCTGCACAGACGATCTGATGGGCGCCCGCAGCTCCTTCGACAGCAGCTCCATCAGCTCCAACTCCGTCTTCTCACGCTGGAGGGTCATCTGTGAGAGCGTGGACGAGTACGACACGCTGGGGACCATCTGCAATAGTAATACAGCCACCTTACATTACAGCTGCTACTGTAGGACTCTTGTTTTCCAGTAAAAACATCTAAACAATTTACAGGCAAGACGAGGCAGGCAAAAAATTTCAAATGTGTTTGCTATGTATCCAAATACAAGGATTACATGCCGAGATACTATAGCAGTCTTCTTTTATTCTTATAAAGTGCAAAAAGTGCTTAGTGCATGTTAATATTTAATATGCACTGAAAACTTTTTTGCATGCAATCCTTGTATTTGGATACATAGCAAACAAATGTCACGAATTGAGATTTTTTGCTCTTTGCTGAATTCTATTATTGACTTGAAATCATGTTACATGTGAATGGAACCAAGCGCAAGATCCTCCTTTTTTTCATTTTTAAACCAGTGTGTTTCCATGCAGTGCGACTCTTTTGCTTCCATAACATGTCTTTTTTCAGACTAGTGTAAATAAAACACAAATAAGTGTTTATTTAATTGCACTTTATCTTTTTGCATCTGTAGATTTTAATCTTTAAAGAGTTTTTTTTTTCTCTTACAAACACGACTTTACAGTTTTATTCCTCTCTCTATGTTCTGAAGGTTTGCTCATATTTCACTGATTTATACAACATTTCACTCCTAAAAACATGGTGAAAATGTGTTTGTTTTCTGTCCGTTGACAGTATTTCCTGATTTACGGAGTGATACAAATAGAAATCCAGATTCCCCTCTAGAAAAACCTTTAACTCTAATTAAATTTAATCTGGCTTTATCCAATAAATTTATCCAATTTATGTTATGAAAATATACGCAAATTAGTATATTTTAATTAGACAATGCCTCATTTAAACATAAAATTTCGAAAATACAAAACAATTGTCTCAGTGTGCTGTAGTTAATCAACTGGTAAAAGTATCTATTAGTTAAATTTGCACTGTATTCACCAGCAGTGTCTTGCCTTGAAAATAAACATACTAGAAATATTACAAATGCAAACAGTTTTTTGTCTTTACAATAACATGCACTGATGAACCTGCACAATAAGTCCAGGAACATACATTAGATTACATATATAACCTGTTGTAACCTCAGTATGTTTAGTGAATGTTGATGATAGATCAGTATGTGTCTGAATGTACAGTAAAGCTGCACGATTCGGGATAAATTGAGAATCAAATATATATTTTTTTGTCTCAAATAGAGATCACAATTCTCCCACGATTCTGAACTAAACAAAACAATGTGTGACAAAATATTTTAATTGCTGCAGTCTATTTAAAAATGTTTAATTAATTAGAATGAATTATTAAACATTTTAATATACAGTATGATATATGTATTTAAATTATAATATATTTAATACACCAATTTTTAGTATTAAAATTATGAAAAAGTGGTTTGAATGATTCAATGACTCACTCATAAATACTTGTTTCATTACTGGATGAATCAGCATTTGTGAACAAATCTCTTGAATTAATGATTCAATGACAACGCATTTTTGAACAGTCACCTGTCGCCACCTAGTGGCAAAACAATGCAATCGACACGCACATTATTTGATGCGCCAGTTACTTTTTTTTAAAAATTGCTCTATTTTGATCGCTACCATAGACATCAATGTTTATATCCAAACCGAACTATATCCGATGATTTTTCAAATGTTTAATAGACATGGGCGAATCGTTGTCATTTAGAGATTGGTGTTTGAATCGATGAATCGTGCAGCTCTACTGTACAGTGATCAGTCAGTCTTGTAACGTGTGATCGGTGTGTTTGTGAGGTTCGGAGAGCAGTCCCATCCGCAGAAACCCCGCCGGTAACGTGGCCCGTCCCATGGTGCAGCGGCTGCCCGAGCCTCAGGACGTGGTGGCGTGTTTGGAGCTGACCGCCTTCGACTCTCCGCCCTTCTACTCCACCTCCTCCGACAGCTTCAGGAACTCCATCGAGGGTGAGGCACGCTTTCAGCTGCAGTCACGCTATGGAAGGCCATATGGTTCAAAAACACATGAATTTTAACATAACACGTATTTAACGTGTATTATACGCGCATTTCACGCGTTAAATATGTGTTGTTTATGCGCTAAAAATCAGTGCGTTAAATATTAGGGCTAGGAAAGTCAATGCATCGCGAATCGAGAAATGATTCAGCATCGATTCTGAGATTTTCCGAATGCCTCGCGATTCTTTCTCGAGTCGATTCTGAGCTTAGTTTTGAACAGCAGATGGCGCTGCATGCTTTAGAAACAACAACAACAACAATAATAATAATAATAATAATACATTTTATTTATAACGCACTTTATATTCACACAGAATCCCAAAGTGCTACAGATTAAAAACAAGAAAAAATATTAAGAATCATTCAAAGGCTTTGCTAAAAAGGTAGGTTTTGAGGCCACGTTTAAAAGCATCGACAGTCTGTGGAGTCCGTAGATGGTCAGGGAGAGCATTCCACAAACCCGGAGCAGCGGAGCAGAAAGCCCGATCTCCCATAGTGCGAAGCTTAGTCCTGGGAGGGGTTTAATAGATATGTTGATGCAGAACGGAGTGTACGTTTAGAAGTATGTGGAGTAAGGAGTTCCTTGAGATATGATGGGGCGTCGCCATGGATGCACTAATGGGTAAGGAGGGAGACCTTATAAACAATCCTGAATGAAACAGAAAGCCAGTGTAGTGATTTGAGAATGGGGGTGATGTGATCGTATTTGCGTACCATCATCAGGATCCTAGCAGTGCTGTTCTGAATGCACTGCAATTTCTGTAAGCTTTTGCCAGGGATATTAAAATCTCCAAGTATTAAAATATTACCAGTGGTAGAGCAAAGTGTTGTAAGAAGGTCATGAATCTCTGAGATGAACACTGAGTTTGGTTTAGGGGTCCGGTAAATGAGAAGTATTGTCATAGGGAAAGGAGGTTTACATTTAAATGCAAGACATTCAAACGAGGGCAGTGTTGGCAAAGGGAGGGGGCATAGCTCTGCTTGCTGTCGATATATTACAGCTAAGCCACCACCACGACCAGTAGTGCGGGCTTTCTCCAGATAGCTGTAACCGGGGGGGCAGACTTCATTTAATGTTGAGTAGACCTCTGGCTGATGTCATGTTTCTGTTATGCACATAAAGTCCAAACCCTTTTCCATGATATGGTCTTGTATAAAGGATGACTTATTTGTGAGTGATTGTGCATTAAACCGTTCCATTTTGAGCATTGGCGAAGTAATGAATCTTTGTAGAGGCTGTAGTACACTGAAATCCACTCCACGTTTTATGTCCTGCTCGGTGTAAAGCGATCTCACGTTTTTTCCCGTGCGGTCCAGCTTAGCATTGTGAAATCTCACGGTGATTGCCATCTTACTAACACCGAGACCGATGTTGCTCTGATAGCATGACAAACGTGTCACATCGGTCCAGATAGATGGGATCCCCGAGGAAGAGCAGCCAGGCTGATGGTAAACAAACTTTTGACGGGAACTTCGATGGATGTAAATCCTTTAATGGCTGCAATGTACGTTGGAGCCACGGTGTGGTTGTTAAGATTCAGCAGCTGCGGGATGGAATACTTAAGCCTCATGTCGCCAAATGAGTTCGGCTGGAGCTAGCCATTAGCCAAACAGAGACTGTCAAAACTGTCGAGCACAACGAAAAAAATTGTTCATGACATGGCAATGAGGTACAAGAGTCACCACACCGGGACGACTGAAAGGCTGCCCAGGGAGTAAACCTCATAGAAGCAGCAGACGACAGAGAAATCCAGGTATTTACTCACTGACAAACTGCGAATGACACAATCAGCCGATGTTGAAGGGGGTAGCAGTAAATAGGTAGACAGCCTTCAATTTAGTAACAGACAAAAAAAAAGAAGCGGTGAAGAAGCGGCGAACAGCAAAACACCAGTGTCTTCTCCCGACTCAATGCTCTTCGTGATTGTAGGAAACAGCCGTACTCTGCTTGTTTCCAGATCCTTACACACACTTGAACCTAAAATAATCATTCATAAAATTTGAAAAGGTTGAAGTGAATTACAAGGGTGTTCACAGTGGGCTGTGTTTACTTTAATCTTGCATCATAAAAGCATTCTGAGCCGAGGTGAAATTACTCAGCCGAATGCACAAGCACTCTTCACCGCTCCTCTTCATCAGCATTTTAGTGTGTGGATACAAACTAGAGTAGAGCGCCATCTGCTGTTAAAATCTAAGCTCAGAATCCATTCCAGAGAGAATCATGATGCATTCGGAAGATCGATTTATCATCGCAGCCCTATTAAATATGCACAAACAACACGTGTTTAACGCGTGAAATACGCATATAATAGGCGTTAAAGGTGCACTAAGCAATATTTGAAAAACGCTTTTGACCACAGTGTTGGACTGAGTCCGAAAAAAAACACTTGCAGTTATTAAATTGCAATTATTAAAAAAGTATTAGTAAAGCAGTGGAGTGATTGAGTGTAGTGGTCTGTGGCATGCTTGCATCCGTCTGCATGGCTCCGTGGCTCAGGTCTGTGAGTTCAGTCTGAGCATGTGCTAAAGTGAAGTGCTGAGCATGCCGAACTAAAGGCATGAGCTGGAAGATCTGTCTCATCAGTAAACACAGATGATATAGCGTACATGTAATCATTGGACAGCTCCGAGCAAGAGAAAGGACATTTCATTGTGAAGATACAGTAAATGAGCATATTTTAATTGTTTGGCATTCTGTTTATGAATTTGAAAAATATTACGGCCATTTTACAATTGCAGAGGCATTTCTAGTTTTTCTTCAGTTATATTTTTCATTATATTTATATTTTTATTTTTTTTCCATTTTTGTAAGGTCAGATTAATTCATTTATTTTAGTTATATATAAAAAAAACTGCAAGCAAATTGCAAGCACTGCTTACACCTGATATTAATGGTTAGGTGACAATTGTTTATTATTATTTTATATTTTATTATTATTATTATTATTATTATTTAGTTTATTATTTATTTCGTTAGGCTAACTGAGACTTGTCATAGCACTTGCATTTCATTGCTCTTTTGTTGATTTTGATTGCTGCCATTGTTCTCATTTGTAAGTCGCTTTGGATAAAAGTGTCTGTTAAATGACTAAATGTAAATATTAGCAGATCGACTATAGATAGAGAGAGATGCCAGATAAAATAAGAGCATATTGCTTGTTTTTGCTCTATTTCGCCAACAAAAATCATCCCGAATACAGCCACAGCGCTGTTTCGTGTCTCTGAGCAACATGACGGTGTTCCGTTCTTGAACGAATCAACCATTTAAATGATTCGGTTCAATCACAATGACTCACTTATTAACAGTGATTTGCTGCCACCTGCTGGCGGTTTTATTAGCAGATCGACTATAGATAGAGAGAGATGCCAGATAAAATAAGAGGAAAATAACAGAGGAACAAAACATTAAAAAGCAGGGTCACGATCAGGCATGAGGTAGGACCCACGTAAATATCGAAGCAACGTCATCCTCCACGTGAAATGGAGCTAAACCATTCAAGTGTTAAAACACACAGTACTAACAAACACATTAGACCTGAATTACCAAAGTAACACACATCGCTTTCACCTATTAAAGACTTCCGCCAGCATAATTGCCGGGTGTTACAATGACCGGCTGGAATGCCCTAGTTGTCCACTAGAGGGCACTCCATCCTAGGCTTCTACCACTCCATCAAGGACTTCATTTCCCATAATCCTTTGCCCGGACTCATCAGCACTCATTGTTTGCACCTGTTTCTCATTTACCCTGTCTGCTCACCCTATGAAAGTCTGGTTCAGTTTGTCATTCATTGCAAAGTCTTGTATGTGTTAGTGATGAAAAGTCCGATTCATTTCCGCGAACCGGTTCTTTTCGGACAGATCGGCTCATTGAACCGGTTCAAAAAGCCGATTCATCGGTTGATATAATTTTTTGTCAATATCGCACACCCCTATGTTCTACATGTCTACAGTATAAAGAATGAATAAACTCCTTGATTTCGCTTAAGCAACTTTAAATATAATATGCATTCACAATAAACTATAGTAAAATTTATTTACATCACTCGACAGAAAAGTTTTTTCATGTTTTATTGATGCACAAACACGGATATGTTCTACAGTATAAAGAATGAATAAACCAGTCTTATAAACTCCTTGATTTCGCTTAAGCAACTTTAAATATAATATGCATTCACAATAAACTATAGTAAAATGTATTTACATCACTCGACAGAAAAGTTTTTTCATGTTTTAATAAAATGTAAATTTGTTTAATAATTAATAAAATCCTCGGCAAACTTCGCCACGGCTCGTTTGGTTCTTGTTGAGTTGGACGTGCTACTTCGGCTGTGCGACCCGCGTCATCAACCCGGAACTAAAGTTCAATTCAGTTCGATTTGTGAACCGGCTCGACCGGTTACTTCCTGAGAACCGGCTCAAAATAACGATTCGTTCAAGAACCTAACATCACTAGAATGTAGAGCTGCTGACTGACCAATATTGGCTAGCCTACAACTTGGATAAGATTCCTACGTTCCACACCTACAGCACACATTACAGACACTGATGCACAAATGCGGATATGTTCTACTAGGGGTGTGCGATATATATCGTCTGCGATAATATCGTAATTGTTGTTTTAACGATGTGCGATT